ATATGGTAGTCCAATAACATGCGATCCGGCTATCTCTACTATTAATCAGAAGACATTTCAAATTTGGAACCGACAATTCTAAATATGGATTTTATGACTCATTGACTCGACTGCATTCGAAACTTATGTTATTGAATTAAGGAGAAGTCCACTCTATAATACTTTGGTGTATTTCTACCGGGCCAACCAAATCAACCGATAGAATTTATCAAAAAAAAAAAAAACAAATGCATAATCTGCCTCCATAATCCACAATTTTATGTAAAACTTACGTGTGAACGTTGTTGTTGAATCAATTTCCGAATGACGACACTCTTACAAATTATCGTAAAATTCTAAAAACTTGTCATCAACTTTCAAAAAAATTGTTAATTTTTAAGGTTTGCAATTTAAAGTCCCCTTGTATAAAACCAAACGCATAATCTGCCTCCATAATCCTTAATTCCATGTAAAAACTTCCTTGTGAACGTTGTTGTTGAATCAATATCCGATTTTAATGATAAGAATCTATACACAAAGTTATCGAGTAAGTTTGTTTCGAAGACGACCTTATCTTACTACAATGCTTTTGCGAATCAAAAGACTTGATGTGAAAATTGTGTTGCAACTTTAGGTAATATGTGATAAGCTAAATAAGATTCAAATAAGTGAAACAACATCTATATAAAAATCGAATGACGACACTCTTGCAAATTATCGTAAAATTCTAAAAACTTGTCTCCGACTTAAAAAAAAAAAGACTATTTGGTTTACGTCGATTTCAAAGTCAACTTGACGAGACACCTTAAGAATTCTGCCCTTTGGGTTAATTATTTTCTTCTTCACTGATTAAGTGAAAAAGGGGGAAAAACCACTAAAGGAAAATGTCGTTGTTGATTTTTTCGTGTGAAACTGTATATATATTTTGAAATTGAAATACCACTAAAGACAATTGGAATATTTAAATATTAAAGCTTTGAGCAAGGTATTAGAATAATCTTTTTGAAGTTATTAAAATGCATTTCGTGTTGTGTACTGGAAAATGACACTTGACGAATTCATAAAATTTGATTTTCTTAGTAGAAATTTTTAAAAATCTGGGTAAGTTTATATATATACGTTTTGTGACCGATGATGGCGTTGTAAACTTGTATTCAGTTCATCAAGCATTGAGCTAAAAGATGTCAAATTCAGTTTCTGATTTAGATTTTAGGATTTGAAAAAATAATAACAAAACTTAAAAGTGAAATTAGTATGAATCGTTTTGGAACTATTTTGGTTTCGATTTGATTTTAAATAGAAACAACAACTTAAAAACGAAAAACAAAATTAGTTTGATTTTTTTCTTCTTCGATTATAATTTAGTAGCATTTAGTATCTGTTTTGGTCATGGTGACATATTTATTGCTACATGCAAGCATTTTTATAGAATACAACAGCAGTAACTTATCCTATACATAAAAGATGAGTGTAACTCAAGTAAAAGCAGGAATTCTCTTTAACTTAATGCAACACTTGAAGCTTCCTTTCTATAAATAGAAGACCGCTTGGGAAGTCGAAGAACCATAACAAAACACTAATAACATATATATATATATATATATAATGGCTACTACTACTCTCATCACGCTTTTCCTAGGGCTCTTAGCCCTAACGAGTACCCTTAGCTTCAACGCTGAAGCTAGGCCTCAACCAAGTGATGAGGATCTCGGTACCGTCATTGGACCTCATACGAGATTCGACGAAGATCTTGGTACCGTGATTGGACCGGAAGAGATCGAAGCACCGCACAGGGACCTACACGATGATGATTTGGGCACCATCATTGGACCGGAGTTTGAGATCCACAAGCGTGATTTCCCCGAAGATTTCATCTTTGGTACATCCGTTTCAGCGTATCAGGTCATTATACGTTTGATATTATACACATTATATTCACATACATTTTAACACCCAAAAAAAAAGCTTTTTTATATTAAAAAAAAACCGACACCGAATAGTAGGTGCCACAGCTATAAGCGATTTTATGTGTAAAAATATATGGTGAAAGTATGACATGATCATCGATCTACTCTTTTTGAGAGTAGAGCCCAAGCCTCAGCAAATCAACAATATATATAGTTACATATACATTATAAGTTTATAACATACTAGAACCTAATCATTTCGAATTTGTTCGAGTCTTATATAGGTTGAAGGTGCTAAAAAGGGATCTGGGAGAGGCTTGACATCATGGGATGAATTTACACACATGTATCCGGGTATAAACTACGCTTTTTTTTCATTCTTTTTATAACTTGTAAAGTGATTATAAATTCGGATTATAACTATAAAAACATGAAAATTCTAGCATGGCCAATATCGTCTATATAACCATCCTATATGTATTAGTTTAAATCTTTGATATAATTTCTCTTCACTTGATACCTTAAGTTTTAATCTAATCCAACATTTTTAATTAGTTTTAAATCCCCAATTTATATTACTTAAACCTTACTGAAAATATGAAATAAGTTACCATTGTTGTGATATCTTTCAGACAAGGTTGAACATAGTGATGATGGAGATCTCGGAGTCGACTTCTATACCCGTTTCAAGGTACGTGAGTCATTTTTTTAATATAATTTAGGTTTTACTGAATAAAATTAATTTTTACTTTTGGGATGTGAAATCAATTAAATGGTAGCATTTATATTTTCAACATGCATTTATATTTTCAACATATTGAAAAGATTGTGCGGGATGTATTGTAGGATGATGTCAAATTAATGAAGGAATTGAAAACGAATGGGTTCAGATTTTCAATCGCATGGACCAGAGTCATGCCTGGTAAGTCCTTCGCATTCTTCCTTGTAATATTTAACCAAACCACTTTTTGTTTTTTTTTAAATCTAAACTGGAAAGACGTAATGTTATAAAAAAGTTTCCAACTCATGTATATATATATATATATATATTTATCAATTCTCAGATGGAAGAGGCGTAAACGAGGAGGGGGTGAAGTTCTACAACGATCTTATTAATGAACTTTTAGCCAATGGTGACAAATAATTATGATCTCATATGTATTCAGTTTTAGATGTTTTAACTAATTCTCCCAACATGTGTAGTTAATGTTTTTTTTTTTTTTTTTATTGACAGACATTCAACCCGCGGTTACTCTCTTTCACTGGGAATCTCCAATTACTCTAGAAATGGAGTACGGAGGTTTTCTAGACGAAAGAATTGTGTAAGTAATTTTGTAGTTGTAGCTAAAGGTGTTTTCTTATATGCCAAGAAAAATACATAAAAAAGAATTTGATTTTTGTTAATTAACCAAACTTTGAACAAATCAACGTAGAAAGGATTTCCGGGAGTTTGCGAAATTATGCTTTAAGAGATTTGGAGATAGGGTGAAGAATTGGGCGACATTCAACGAGCCATCGGTATACAGTGTTGCTGGTTACTCGAAAGGTAAGAAAGCACCAGGACGTTGCTCTCCATGGGAGGTCCCTAAATGTCTCTCAGGAGACTCATCAGAAGAGCCTTACAAAGTTGCTCATAACCAGATTCTTTCTCATCTTGCTGCTGTTGAAGAATTCCGAAAATGCGAAAAGGTTAGTTCCTAAAATTTTTCCATATATATACATACCGTGAACCCTATAATTCATTTTTAAGTTCGAAGAAGTAGTATACATATATAATTAAAGACCAAACTAAACCGTTATGTTACAAAACTAGTGCCAAGAGAATGGAGGGAAAATTGGAATAGTGCTGGTTTCACACTGGTTTAAGCCTCAAGATCCAAATTCTGATAAAGATGTCGAGGCAGCGAGACGATCACTCGAGTTTCAACTCGGCTGGTGAGTTTTTTATTTTATTTTGTAAATTAATTACTATTTTCACGTTAGGTTCGATCTTAATATATATATTCACAATTAATCAAAATAACGTTTGCTGTATTATGTATAAGATGTGACATTGATTGATTGCTTTCTTAACTACAAATGGGTAGGTTTCTTCGCCCTCTGACATCTGGACATTATCCAACGGTAATGCAGAAGGATGTAAACATCCGATTGCCTGAATTTACACAAGAAGAATCTGAGAAACTAAGCAAATCTTTGGATTTCGTCGGATTGAATTACTATGGAGCATTCTTCACTACCCCAGTCACCAATGTCAATTCATCGCAGCTTAGTTATCATGGGGACTTAGGTGTACTCTGGACAGGTACCAAAAGTTTTAAGGCTCATTTGTTTAAATAGTCATTTTAGCAATTTTAATGTGAAAATGAAACTTTTTATAGAGAAAATTGTAAGAAGGATCTAGTAGTTTGCATTCAATCTATTGTATTGTTAGTATGCCATTAGTTTGCTTTTAGTAGGGGATTAGTCTGCACTTAATCTGAAAGATAAATTAGTCTATTAGTATTAGTTTCCATTTATTATATCACTAATCTGCAGTAAAAAATAGCTAGAAAGATAGCGATAGTATTTTGAATATTTTTTAAGATTATTTATTTTCACAACTTTCCCTTACATGTGTTTTTATTTGACAGTATTTTCTCATTTTGCTGTTTCTTCAAGTTTTAATTAATCATTTTCTTTCGAAATTACATTATCCGTTAGCGTAATAATACTATGACAAGAACATAGTTATGAAATATTAATAGTCGCTTTGTTTCTCCTTGGTTTTTGCAGATAAGCGGAACCATTCACCGCATCTCAAGGTATTCTTTTACATGTATACACATTATAAATGAACATATATAGTTGACCAAACAAAAACACACACACACACACACATATATATATATATATATATAAGAGGTAAAATATCTAGATTGTGGATTTCACTTGAGAATTAAAATCCTTCAATTGTTTTTTTTTTTTTTTGGTTCAAAGACATTTTTCAACTACAAATTTGTTGAAAAGGATGACTTTTAATTTCATATAAAAATTATTTAACCTATTTACTCTAATCCGTCAACTAAATTCAAATGAGTATTGGCAAAAAAAAAATTCCCCGCCAATACATGGATGATATCAGTTACTATTACAAAATAGATAAATAGAGGTATTAGTTACAACTTGTATAATGTCTTGTTTAATTTGCAGTCAACTTCAATGGGGATAGTGATATATCCAGACGGTTTAAAGAAGCTCTTGAAACATATCAAAGATGAATACATGAATCCAGAGATTTACATTATGGAGAATGGTAACCAATTAAAAATATAGGGATTTTGGTAAAACAATATTCTCATTCAAATTTAATTGGCAGGGATGGACGAACTCGACGATGGGAACAAGACTGTAACGGAAGCCATAAACGATTACGGAAGGAAAGAGTTCATCAAGAGTCACATCTTAATCATGGGTAAATCCATCAGGTATAATTACAAATATCTTATGCCCGATCACATGCATCTCTAATTAAGTGAGTTTTGTCCGAACGAACAAAAAATATCATCAACTTTTATGCTAATGGGTTGTTCGCAGGATGGACAATGTGAGGCTGAAGGGTTACTACATATGGTCGCTAATGGACAACTTCGAGTGGGAGAAAGGTTATAGAGAGAGGTTTGGGCTCTATTATGTAGATTTCAAGGACGACATGAAACGTCATATGAGGTCATCAGGGAAATGGCTTAGGGAGTTTCTTGATTCGAAAGAGTCTCTCCATAAATGCTACTTCGAGGGCCATCGGGAGAAAGGATATGCTCCCAAGTTGTTCGACAAAGAGTACTTGGAGCCTGACAACTATAGGCTAAATTATGCGAGTGATTTTATGTGAAAAAATATATGGCGAAAGTTGATATGATCATCGATCTACTCTTTTTTAGAGCAGAGTCAAAGCCTCAGCTAATCATATAGTTTATAATATATAGTGTGCTATCAGAAAAAACAAGAATAAGATCTGAAATGGTTATATCTATGTTTTTTTTATGTCTGTGTGTGTTGTTAAATGAATGTGTCAGTGAGTGTTTGTAGAAAATTAGAAATATATTACTAATGAATAAAACTACGAATGAATGTTTATTTTAAACTATGCATGGGTAGTTAAATCCAATGATATACATCACTTAGAAACAATCCGTAAGGTCATAAATTATCTTTTGACATATTTTTTTTTTGTTTAGGTTTTCTTCGGCCTTTCTCCGAAAGGTGTATCATTGCCATCAAACCAAACGTCATCAAACCAAACGTCAATACAAGAAAACATGTTCTTTTTTGATGAAATTTTCTGACAAAATTGTTTATTGGAAAATTCCAACGGCATTTCAATGGTTTTTTAGACAAAATATAATTTTCGGTATGTGGTCAGAAAATTTTGAAAAATAAAATTTATTGGAAATTTCTAATAAAATATTACTATTGTTTTTTAAAATATTTATGATCAATTTCTGACAAAATATTTCGATTCCAATGAATTATCAAGATAAAACTATTACTTTTAGTTTTATTTAATGTTTTAAATATCAATGACAAATATTGATGAAAATAAGTTAAAATTGTTATAAATTCGTTGAAATATGTTTTTAAAAAAATATTTTTGACGAATTTTCAAATGAATTGAAAGATTAGAGATACTTAAAACATTTATGCAAAACTCTAGAAAAAGAGAGAGATCAATATCTAATAAAATAGTACTATTGTTTTTAAAAATATTTACGATCAATTTCTGACAAAATGTTTCGATTCCAATAAATTATCAAGATAAACTTATTACTTTTAGTTTTATTTAATGTTTTAAATATTAATGATAAATATTGATGAAAATAAGTTGAAATTGTTATAAATTCGTTGAAATATGTTTTTAAAAATGATCTTTGATGAATTTTCAAATGAATTGAAAGATTAGAGATACTTAAAACACTTAGGCAAAACTCTATAGAGAGAGAGAGTTAATTTATCTTAGTATAAATGTTTTTTTAATCAAAAGACTTGAAATGAAATATTGTATTGCAAAATTTTTTTTGGTAAAATGTAAAATTTTATACTATTTTAAAAATTGTGACAAAATATAGAGATAACTAAGAAAAAACAGAAAGACCAAAATCTAAATACAAAGGCATAGATACAAACAGAAATTAAAGGAAGAACATAAACGACAAGCTAGACCTCTATGATAACAGCCAATAGAAATTCGAAGACAAAACACCGATTCTGAAAACCTACATCAGAAATTTGTGAGTCCTCATCATTGTTGCCACGAGCAACCGTACACGAGGCAAGCCCTCTAAACCTCACCGAAAATAGCACCTACAGCTTTTCCGAAGACAAACACAAAAATGAGAACGCTTCGACTCACCTAACCACTATCCGGTCCGGCGGCATGGGAGTCGTCGGGCCTGCTAGAGAAACCGCCTCCAGCCACCATTCCGTAGCTTAAGAAAGCTGCAGAAATCACCTCCCACGGATAGAAATTAGTTGCCAAGCAAAATCCGTCGCCTCGATTCGAAAATAAGACACCACCGAAGCTAACGAAAAGGCTATCACCCACCAAAAATGAAACCCTGCCGAACCCAAAACCCGAAACAAAACACACATCGGAAAAGCAGAATGAGCCATACCGAAACCCAGGAACAGACCAGAGAAGAGAGGGAGTGAAAACGACAAAATGAGGAGCTCTGAACACCCATCATCGCCGAAGCAAAACCACCAGCCGTCGCCTGGGAAGCCCACACCTCTTTTAACCAACGTCCTAGCCCCATATTACGAGCAAACCGTCGATGGAGATACACAGCGCTGGAGCCAAGTGTCATAACTCCGAGAAGAAATGAGACAGTGACATCCCCTATGCCTTGGCAGCATCGGAGCCGTTCTCAAATCCACAAGAACCACTGTAGGGAAACAGAGAAACACACAACACGAAGCCTCCATCGCAGTCTAAAAAAACTGCAGAACAACAAACGCGCCACCATTGCTGTCGGAGAATGACCACAGCCACGGCGAGAGCTCAGCCGACCTAACCAACGCAATTTTAATTGATAACTAATGAGTGTTAATCATATAAGTTTTATACCCGTGAAATAATTTAAACTTTACTGTATAAAAAACAAAAATTTTGAAATCTTTCAATGTTTTTTATAATATTATCAAATACAAAGAAAGAAATAGGGTAAAAAACTATTAGTAATTAATTATATTTAGAATTTTTAACACATACTGTAATAAGCTTTTTTAAAAAAATATGGGATGGACGTGAACTTCAACAGACAACACGGATACTTTATGTGTTTCGGGATGCTTACGTCGATTTAAAAAACGATTTGAAGAGACACATTAAGGATTCTTGCTCTTTTGTGCCATCTTTAAACATTTAATTACTTCTTCAATAATTAAGTAAAAAGGTAAAAAAGTATTACCTTCAAAAATATTTTGTTGTTTGATTTCTTCATATGAAACTATATCAAACAAATGTTTCATTCATTTGTTATATGAGTTCGGTTAGCCCTGAAAATTTCAGAAAGGATTTTCCATTCCGTCCTCTATTTATTTTGATTTATTTTGTTTTATTTTATTTTTCATTCATTTTTTAATCATAGTCTATTTTGTTTAAATAGATATAAAAAAGATACAGAAAAAAATGAAAATGAGAATAAATAACCGAATTACCTATTGAAAGATATATTTTTTTAAAAATTATATATTTATTTGAATTTTCAAAAAAAAATTCTTGAAATATATATTCTGAAATTAACTCTTACCCAAATTATTATAAAATTAAGATAAATTTTTAGATAAAATAATTTCTCCAATTCGGCACACTATCGAAATTCTTATTTGATTTTTATTAAAGTTCTTTTTAAAAATTATTTTCCTAGTTTCAAAATTCATGTAGTTTATATTTCTAAATTCTAGTTCTAAATTTTGAAAATTTCAGAGGTATAGGTTGGCCATTGGGTTAAAAAAAGAGTTTAAAAACAGTCCAACCAAATTAATGCAATCCGTCTCTTAGAACATTCTTAACAAAATATTTTAATGAGTATCTCAATAATAAAATAATTATAAAAAATAAATTTTTTATTTGAAATATTTATGAGAGAGAAATGAAAACCCTTCATAACATGTGTTTATTATTGATTGATTTATTTTTTTATTTAAATAAGAATTTAATTCTAATATATAATTATATTAAAATAATAATATATACTATATTTTTTTAAACCCCTAAAAATATCTCACTATTAGTGATGTACTTATTGTCGTGTTACCTGACTACAAAATGTTGGGAATAGAGAGAGAGTAGATGACTAGATGAGAAAGAAAAAAAGTAAACAAAAAGAGAGTAATTGAAAATGATAGCCGTGTGCTAGTAAGACGATTGGAATATTAAAATATTAAAGCTTTGGGCAAGGTATTAGAATCATCTTTTTAAAGCCATTAAAATGCATTTCGTGCTGTGTAGTGTGTTATTGGAAAATGACACTTGACGAAATTCATAATTATGACTACTAATAGTATAAACATTACAAAACTAAAAAAAATTGAATAAAAGACTGCAATTAGCTCAAAAGGTTAAACAAAAACTAGTAAATCGTTGATAATGGCTTGTTATTATTTAAAAAAATAAACCACATAGAAGATAATACTTTGACAAAATTTTACCAAAAAAAAATAGTTTGACAAACAAAAGCCAATCTATATCGGGCTGCAAGCTTTTCTTTGAAAGGAGTTTCATCCAGATTTTGATCCGTCTCAGTGAAGTTGGAAACACAATAATTAAACTAAACATGGATTGATATGAACTGGTTTGTTTATATTTAGTTTCAAACAAACTTTAAGAACATAAACAAATTCAGTTTTTACGAATTTCGTTTCGATTTCTGGACATAATTACTGACATCATACTTAACTATTGCTATAGGCAAGCATTTTATATACCAAATTACTTCTTTATTTTTTTTCAAGATAATTATAACGTATTATGAATACAATTTTAGTTTTTAAAACAATTTGTGTTCCACTGGAATTTAGTTTCTGTTTTGGATATGATGGTATAGCGTTTTTATACACAAAGAACACAGCATTACTTTAACTTATCCTATAGCCAAACCAAGGATGTCCCACAAAAGATGAGTGTAACACAAGTAAAAGCACGAATTCCCCTTTAACTGAATACAACACTTGAAGCTTCCTTTCTATAAATAGAAGACCGCTTGGGAACTCGAAAAACCATAACAAAACACAAAATAACATATAATGGCTACTACTACTCTCATCACGCTTTTCCTAGGGTTCTTAGCCCTAACGAGTACCCTTAGCTTCAACGCTGAAGCTAGGCCTCAACCAAGTGATGAGGATCTCGGTACCGTCATTGGACCTCACACTAGATTCGACGACGATCTTGGTACAGTGATTGGACCGGAAGAGATCGAAGCACCGCACGCCAACCTAGACGATGAGGATTTGGGTACCATCATTGGACCCGAGTATGAGATCCACAGGCGCGATTTCCCCGACGATTTCATCTTTGGAACATCCGTTTCTGCCTATCAGGTCATTATACGTTTAGTATTGTACACATTATATTCAAATAGATTATAACATAGATAAAAGAGTTTACTATTTACGTATTGGTTTGAGTTTTAGGTTGAAGGTGCTAAAAAGGGATCTGGGAGAGGCTTGACAACATGGGATGAATTTACGCACATGCATCCTGGTATAAATTACTGTTTTGTCTATCACTTATAAAATGATTATGAATTTTAGTACCGCATTTAAAGTATTAGAAATGGTTATAGTTGAAATTCTCGATATTGTTTTCTCTTTGTTGAAAAGTTATCTAATCCCTTTTTAATGTTAGTTTTAAACTCCCAAGTTGTTTTACCAAAAGCTTTCTTAAAACGTAAAATATAACACCACTGATGTGGTATATATCTTTCAGACAAGGTGGATCATGGTGATGATGGAGATGTCGGAGTCGACTTCTATACCCGTTACGAGGTTAGTCGTAATTTTTTTTAATAATGGATTAGCTAGGTTTTATTGGATAAAATATATATTTTTATGTGAAATCAATTAAATGGTAGTAGCATTTTTATTTCCAATATATTGAAAAGATTGTGTGGGATGTGATATTGTAGGATGATATCGAATTAATGAAGAAGTTGAAAACGAATGGGTTCAGATTTTCAATCTCATGGACCAGAGTCTTGCCTTGTAAGTCCATTACATTAGCCCTTGTAATTAGTTAATGAAATCACCTATTATAATAGTAATGATTCTTACTAGTTTTTTTTATAACTCATGATTGTGTATCAATTTTCAGATGGAACGATAGAGAAAGGTAAAAACGATGCGGGGGTGAAGTACTACCACGATCTTATAGATGCACTTAAAAGAAATGGTGAAACATCTTATAACTTCTGAATCTCAATCTTGAATGTTTTTACCGAATTATTCCAACTTCTCAGTATAGTAACACTTTATGTTTTTCCATTTGTATTGATAAATTGACAGGCATTGAGCCAGCAGTAACTCTATTTCATTGGGAATCTCCACTTGCTCTAGAACTTGCGTATGGCGGATTTCTAAGCGAAAAGATCGTGTAAGCCATTTTTGTATATAAACACCTTTTCAAGATTTCATCTTCGCTGCTCCAAAAATAATGTGAATACTTAATGTAGAGAGGATTTCCGAGCATTTGCGAAATTCTGCTTTAAGGAATATGGAGGTAAGGTGAAGAATTGGGCGACATTTAACGAGCCATCCGTATACAGCGTTGCGGGTTACTCGAAAGGTAAGAAAGCACCAGGACGTTGCTCTCCGTGGGAAACCCTCAAATGTTCATCAGGAGACTCATCCAGGGAGCCTTATGAAGTTGCTCGCAACCAACTTCTTTCTCATGCTGCTGCTGTTGAAGAATTCCGAAAATGTGAACAGGTTAGTTTTAAATATTTTGATATATATATATAATCCTAAAAACTCTACATATCTATAATTATCGATTATTTGTTATGTTATAAAAATTAGTGCCAAGAGATTGGAGGGAAGATTGGAATAGTGTTGGTATCTCACTGGTTCGAGGCTCAAGATCCAAATTTGAGTAAAGACGTGGACGCAGCGAAACGATCCCTCGAGTATTTACTCGGATGGTAAGTATTTTTTTTTGTTGTATTTTGATGTTAATGTGATTCATGAGTAATTTAAATGAATGTTTGAGATGTGACATTGTATTGCTTTTATGAACAGGTTTCTTCGCCCTCTCGTATATGGGCAGTATCCAACCGAAATGCTACAAGATCAAAATCTCAAGGAACGATTGACTCCATTTAAACCAGAAGAATCTGAGAAACTCAAAGGATCTTTGGATTTCGTTGGATTGAATTACTATGGAGCATTTTTCTCAACCCCACTCACCAATCTCAATTCATCGCAGATTAGTTATATCTCCGACGTGCGTGTAAACTGGACAGGTACCACAACCTAAATCGCTTTTCAAGAACCTTTTTTTTTTATTTTCCAAATGAGATTATCCGTTCGCTTAATCATATTTGGCATTAACATTGATTTCATTATGAAAAATAACATTATGTTTGCTTCTTCTTGGTTCTTTCAGTTGAGCAAAACCATTCACCACATCTCAAGGTACGTACTCCTAATCCCTCCTCCTAAACCATGTGTATACACACAATAGGTAATGTATATAGATCATGTATTTTCACTGGGAACAAATTCATCAAGAATATAGTTAAATTCTCTCTAGTGTTTTTTTTTTTTTTTGTTTGACAAAATTAGTAAAGTGGATTTATTTTCACGAGAAGAATTGATTTAACGTACCTCAAATTCGTTAACTAAATTTAAATGAGCATTGTCAGTTATTTTTCCCCTTGGTTAAGTCTTGTTTTATTCGCAGCCAACTGCAATGGGGATAGTTGTATATCCAGAGGGTTTGATGAAGCTCTTAAAACATATCAAAGACGAATACATGGATCCAGAGATTTACATCATGGAGAATGGTAACCTTTCAACAATGTTATATACAAATACGTACTCATATACACACACATATATAGTGAGTACTTAATTAGTATGATGATGGTTTTTGTTAAATTTAATTGGTAGGGATGGACGAGATCGACGATGGGAAGAAGAGCGTAGAGGAAGCCACAAACGACTATGGGAGAAAAGAGTTCATCAAGAGTCACATCTTAATCATGGGAAAGTCTATCAAGTATACCACTAATTAATGCTTTTTACTTAAAATCATATATATAATTGCAAAGGCCTAGCTAGAAAACATATCTTTGGCCCTCTTACATCTCTAATCAAATGAGTTTTGTCGAAAGATATGATGCAATTATGCTAATGGGTTGCTCGCAGGATGCACAATGTGAGGTTGAAGGGCTACTTCATATGGTCACTAATGGACAACTTCGAGTGGGAGAGAGGTTACAAAATGAGGTTTGGGCTCTATTATGTCGATTTCAAGGACAACATGAAACGACATATGAGGTCATCTGGGAAATGGCTAAGTGAGTTTCTTGATTCGAAAGAGACTCTCCATAAATGCTACTTCCATAGCCATAAGGGGAAAGGATATGCTCCCAAGTTGTTCGACACTGAGTACTTGGAGCCTGACAATACTAAGCTGAGCTACAGGAGCGATTTTATGTGAAAAAAAATAATATATGGTGAAAGTATGATATGATTATCGATCTACTCTTTTTGAGAGTAGAGCCGAGCCTCAGCTAATCATACAGTTTTATATAGTCTTTTATCAGAATAATGAGAATAAGATCTGAGATGCAATGGTCTTATCTATATCTATGGTGTTTTTTAAAATGTCTGTGTGTGTTTCTATCTATATGTGTATTTGTGAGTGTTTGTATGCACATGTTAATAATGAATAAAATACGACCGAATGTTTTCTTCTAAAGTTTGTTATTCTTATGTTTGTTGTTGTTCTTCTTCTCAACATGCACATATACATATATATATATATATATATAAATGCATATATATAATTAACAACCCTTTTAAATGAGCATCCAGTGTTTGTAAGACGGCCCGTTATATATGACTTTCAATTTGTTTATCTTAGTATTGTCTTGGAACCGTGAGGAGAAATGGATTTATCTAGCGATCTGGATGTATGAGTGTTTAGGCATGTACAAGAAAAAAAGATAACATTATCAAAAAGGAATTGTTATCTTTAAAAGAAGGAAATTATTTTTAAAACATACAAAAGGAAATTTTGAAAGAAAAAGAAATTAAAACATAAACCAATCAATATTCAAGAAAATGATTAACAATCCCAGTTTAGCTAAACATACGTGTTACACTGAACCTCTTTTAAAGAAGTGGGGAGCATATATTAGTTTTAAAATGGTATGTACGTGACTATGAGAGTAGTCACACATATACAGACGCACATAAATAGACATCGATGCCATTACAAACAAGAAAGGTACGTACAGACGTACACAAGCAGTTTTCTCCATAAGAGAATACATGGCAACGGATTCGGTTGAATGTTATCATGCAGGGCCAACAATACAATCAACCGATTTGATCCGTCGCTTTTTTATTTTACATAACTTGCATGATATATATAAGCACACATCACAATACGCAAAATATGAAATAATAGGCAGATAAGTTCCTCATGAGGTATTTATTATTGTGGTCTTGATCGAATCCATTAATGCGCATCAGAGATTCTCAGGTGTGTAGAAACATAAGAACTCAACACCGAGATATATCTCATCGTTCACCAGAAATCCGTTTGAAGCCTTGTGGAGTTCCTCCAGCGGCAAAAACTTCCTAAGGCCCCAGCCGCCGTCATCTAAGGATAACCGACTGCTAGCGACTTTACCAAACAAGTAGAGATTATAATCAGAAAACGGCTTACATATGAATACATATAATTTTAAAGAGATTTTGGAGATAAGACTTGAAAATATTTTGTTACTGGCTTTATTAGAAAATATAATATTTGTGTATATTTCTTTATTATTAAATAGATAGATTTTCTATTATGAATGCAAAAACTTGTTAGTCAAGTTAGAAATTTGTATAAATAAGTCTATTGGCTAATCAATAAATTATAGATTTAAAAAAACTATTATACTTTAAATGTTTCCTCTAAATTACATTAATAATGGAAAGATTAGCAAAAGAAAAGGAAGAAATTAAGTGTATATATGTACTCTCTTCATAGTGGTTGCGATTGAGTTGGTCCAACACTCTCAGTTTATAGGCGACAGGTGTTGCTTCCTCAGGAACATTATCGGCCGCCTGTAAAAACAAAGACAAATATTTTCCTTCCGCCCCTAAGGATCCTTTTGGGTACATCGTTAGGTACCTGGTTGAAATAAAAACCATATAAAATAAATTTCATAACATATATATTTACCACATATTTAGTTATACACTATAGATAATTGAGTCAATATACATATATTCTTAAATGTGAATATTCAAAACATAATAAAAATTTTGAAACAGAGGGAATATAAACATTTGCATACGTACCATCTCCGTGGTCCAAATGTGAACTCGAACGAGGAATGATGTTCATCATTGAAGGTGGAAAACTTAGTGATCTTCCATGTGAATCTAGAGTTGCTCCCAGGCACATCCATCAGTTTAATGCGTTCCGCTGTGCCGGACGTGAATCGAGAGAAACTGTTGACATTGAGGAATTTTGGTATGACATGGTTAAACTCGGCACAGAAAACCACTTTATCGTTCACAAGATACTTCTTCAAATCCTCGTATGAGATGAAGCTGTCTTGCTTCGGAAACGCCTCGTGTACGTTAATACACAGATCAAACGCTGATAATACGAAAAAAATATCTCAGTATTATTTAAAAAAAAATAACAAAAGAAAATCATCACCAATTAATATATACTTTTGCTCAGACAAGGATCTCCAGTGGGACAGCCTACGGAGAGTTTGAAACTGCATCTGACTTCCCAATTAGAAGTGACATACTGCTCATCCTTGAAATACAGATAAAAGGATAAGCAGCCGCCCTTTTTAAGATTTGAGACAACACTGAGGGTCCTATTAAGAACACACATATATATATATATATATATATGTATATTAGTTTAAACTTTAAACTTAGTTGCAGAACCGTGTTGGGGAAGAAATTGAATGGCTCACCATCTGAAACCATAAGCATGGAAATCCGATGACTGATAACCTCCACCTCTTTGAGACATCATCTTAGACACTCCATCAACAACCATGAAGTGGGCGTTGTAGCGTCTGTGTGCATGTTCTTTTACGGTGTCTAGATAGAATATATGGAGATGAGCAAGCTTATATAGACATCAATTAATTAAATTCATATACAAGCAATGATATATAAGTCAAACGAACCTTCAATTGACATCATTGAACCCATTTTCAAGCAAGTGGTTTTAAAAAATAATAATTTGTTGGTCTGTAGTTTGTATTGGAGTGAGAAGAAAGTGGTATGTATGTCTGTATATATAGGCAAATTCCTTGACGATTCTCTATACAGAACCAGTTAGGGATTGTTATTATTTTTGGGTCTAAATGTTGTTATGGATTAATTTGTTCCAAAACAAAAAAACAAGATTAGAGATGTGACTGGTAAGGAGTCATAGGGATTTCTACATTATTTTTCTTTTACTACTACCAATTAGACCATAAAGACGGTACGTAAGGTAGGTCTCATAGAAACTCATAGCTCTTTATGCATTCATGTTTTGTTTTGTTTTTGCAAAGTAGTACAACAAAACAATTTTTTAAGCTATAGACTAAAATTTACAAGCCTAAATTCTACAAAAATTAATCCATTATTAATTGAAGAAATGTTTTAAAATGATCCAGAATGAGAAAATAATGTGAAACAGATCCATTCAGAAAAAAAATATGAAAATAACCATTTTTATGATTTTTATAAATACCAGCACTACCTCATAGTTATTTTTATTTGTATATTAATGACACATTACTGGCAGACTGATTGGTTATATAACTGAACATAAACTATTGGCACACTAATGACATACTAAATACAAAATACTTGTAGACTAACCATAAATTGAAAGCACACCAATAGACCCATTTTATGGATCATTTTAGGAATGATCATGTTGTACAATAAAAGTGTCAAACTATTATGTATATTTTTTCTTCAAAATCAGTTGAACAAAAAAAAAAAAAAAATTTAACTAACAAACTAACAAACTGATGTAGCTGATTCTAACATGGACTACTAAACATGTATTATAAATGTCGGAAAAAAATGATGTAGCGTAGAAATATTTTTAATGAATGTCGGAAAAAAACTTATAACAATATCAAATATATTATTATCTCGACACTTATATAATAATATCATTAGTTTTAGCACGTACATCTCCTACGTTACATGCCCTAAGTTTGCTTCATTTTCTGGTGTTACCACATGCATTAATAGTCAAGAAAATTCAACTTAGAGGCCGATTTAGGTTTTGTCTCTAATCGGAAGCTATCCGTACGGTATCGGGAGCTTTCCAAGTCACCTAAGCGTAAACGAGACTTTATCGGGAGCAATCATCGAGGAATCAAGCATAGGAAAATTCAACTTAGAGAATCATAATTAAAGGATAAGAAAGGACTAGAATCCCACTATGAACGAACCATATCCTCCGGTCCCTATATTCCACAAGCACTCTATTCCCACACTATCGAGAATCTAACAACAATGGAGGTCAATTATCAAAACGGCGAGGTGTATGCGTAGGGAGAAGCAATGCAACATTCCTCTTCTTCAGCCCAGACCAAAGATCAATGCCCTTCTTAGTTTTTATTTATGAGAGTTAAGGAAAGGTGTCTGAACGAGATCGACGATGGGATGCTGAGCGTAACGGAAGCCACAAACGACTATGGGAGAAAGAGTTCATCAAGAGTCACATCTTAATCATGGGAAAGTCCATCAAGTATACCACTAATTAGTGCTTTTTACTTAATAATCTTATAATTGCAAAGCCCTAGCTAGAATTATATATTTGGACCTTACATCTCTAATCAGATGAGTTTTGTCGAAAGATCTATGTTGCAATTATGCTAATGGATTGTTCGCAGGATGTACAATGTGAGGTTGAAGGGCTACTTCATATGGTAACTAATGCACAACTTTGAGTTGGAGAGAAAGGATATAAAATGAGGTTTGGGCTCTATTGTGTAGATTTCAAGGACAACATGAAACAACATATGAGGCCATCAAGGAAATGGCTAAGCGAGTTTCTTTATTCGAAAGAGTCTCTCCATAAATTCTACTTCGAGGGCCGTCAGGAGAAAGGATATGCTCCCAAGTTGTTCGACAAAAAGTACTTGGATCCTGACAACTATAGGCTAAGTTACACAAGCGATTTTATGTAAAAAAATATATGGTGAAAGTATGATATGATCATGGATCTACTCTTCTTGAGAGTAGAGCCAAATCTCAGCTAATCATATAGTTTATAATAATATTAGTGTACTTTCAGAATAATAAGAATAAGATCTGAGATGGTCATATCTATATCTATGTTTTTTTTTTTTTTAAATAATGTCTGTGTATTCTATCTATATGTGTGTATTTGTGAGTGTTTGTATGCACATGTTAATAATGAAAACAATGCGACCGAATGTTATCTTTTGAAGTACGGAAAACAATACGACCGAATGTTATCTTTTGAAACACGCTCTCTTATGTTTGTTATATTTAAGTAACAACCCTTAAAAATATACAAGGGTCATGTGTGTATAACAGATTAAATCCTTAAAGTCTTTTTCAAGATACCAATCGAATAACATTATTACTACCTAATGTGTCATGTGTGAATAACGTAAGATTGTATAGATAGGATTCGATTCCCACAAAAAAAAAATCGGTGAATTCGAGTTTTATCACATAAGAACCATATGCCCTGAATGGTGGTAGATTATATTCCAAAACTACACCACTCTATGCTAAAAAGATCATTCCCATATTATCGAGAATCTAACAACATTGTATAGCGGATAACAACAGTGGAGAGATATATGCAAGATCATTCCCATATTATCGAGAATCTAACAACAGTGTATAGCGGATAACAACAGTGGAGAGATATATGCGCGCGGAGATAAATGTGCAATGGACATGTAATAATAATGATAATCATCTCCTATATATTAATTGAGAAGTATTTTTAGATAATAACTTTATTTTTGTAAGTACTAGGTATTTACCCGCGTTACGCTACCGGATATTTTTCTAGATTTTATATATATTTTTAATATAATAAAGTTATTTTTATAATGTAAATGAATTTATATTTTATTTTTTATTAACTTAAGTTATGTATTTATATGTTTTAAATCTGAATAAATATTATACATCCTTAATTATTTTTATTTTTCAAAATTATAATCTACTATCAAAGTTGTTTAGCTAACTATTTATAAATGTATATGTAAGAATAAAACAATACATTTTTAAGTACCTTCATACTAACGGCAAATGTAATTTATTTTCTCTATAAAATTGCCACTTAATCTCTTTTAAAATTATAAAGCAAATTGCCATTTAAGAAAAACAATTATTAATTAATATGATTATTTTGAATTATAAAATTTATTTATTTATCAAATATTTATTATAAACATGTGTTTCTAAAACTACCAAACTATAATCAATAACATTCATATCAAAACCATTGTTATTGCTTTAGAACTAAATAGAAGGTTTTATTTGAACTGTTGAAATATTAATTTAGTTGAAGTTAAATAATTCAATTTTGGTTACTATAAACATATTGTAACTTGAAAATTTAGCACAAATTAGAAGTTTTATCTTTTCACAAAAACTGAAAAATTGCATTTTCCCACAAAATAAAAAGACTACATTTTCCCACGAAACAGAGAAATCGCATATTCCCGCCAAAACAAAAAAAAATTCATTTTCTTACCAAAACAAAAAAATTGTATTTTCCCGCAAAAACCAAAAAATCACATTTTCACGCGAGAACATGTGTTTTCACACCAAAACCAAAATTTTCACCTTCCTGCAAAAACAAAAAAAAATCGTATTTTCCCGTCAAAACCAAAAAATTATTTTCCCACAAAAATCGAGAAATCGTCTATTCCCCAAAAAAAAAAAAAAAAAAAAAATTCTCGTCAAACCAAGAATCACGCCTTCCTACCAAAACCGATATATTACAATTTTTCCCGAAAACCAAAAATTGTATTAGTTCCCGAGAAATTGCGTTTCCCAAGAAAACTAAAAAATCGTATTTTTCCACGAAAACCAAAAATCACATTATATGTCAAAAACTGAAAATCTGTATTTCCCATCAAAACCGAAAAAATTGTTTATTCCCGCCAAAATCGAGAAATTTTGTTTTTCCATCACACCGAGAAATTGCATTTTCCGCCAAAATTGTCAAATTACAATTTTCCGTGAAAACTAAGAAATCACATTTCCCGCGAAAATTACGAAATCACATTATCCATTAAAAGCCGAAAATTTGCAATTTCTATCAAAACCGAGAAACATGTATTCTTTGTGTCAAAATCAAAATTTTTTTTATCATCAAAACCAAAAATTCACATTTTTTCGCCAAACTCGAGAATTCATTTTTTTCGCCATAACAAAGAAATTATGTTTTCTACCAAAACTGAAAATTACATTTTCCTACCAAAACCAAGAAATTCGCTATTTCCGCCAAACCCAAGAAAATTTGTTCTCGATAACCACCAGAAATGCGAATCTCCAAGTTGTGGTGATCTGAGCTTCTCCTCATTTGCTTTCGACTTTAATTTTTTGTAAACTTTGGGCTTTTTAATGGGTCAACAAAATATTGTGTTAATGTGTTAATGATATGTATTATTGTTATGTTTTTATTGGTTCAAATTTTTACTGATGTGTGAGCTTATTATAACATAACGCTTTTTGCGTTGTTTTTATGGAAGTAAAGTTGATAATGAGTATACACTTTCTTCAGTCACATATGTCTCCATCAAACAAACACATTGTTAGAAATTAAAAAAAAAATTCTGTTATTTATTATTTGAGTTTCGGTCTGGCAAAAATATAAAACAAAGATTTATTTTTCTGTTGTTATTTATTATTTGGATTTGGGGATGGTAAAAAAAATATTTTTTTTATTTTCTATTATTTATTATTTGAGCTTGGGTTTGGTAAAAAATAAAACAAAAATTAACAAAAAAAAAAATATTTGGGTTTTTTAATGGGTTTAAGTTAAAAATAATAAAAGTTAGTAGATGATGTGTATTAATAAAATATTTTGATCGGAGTTTTTTTTTGCTGAGAAGTCAACTTTAAAAAGTTTGAAAAAGCTGATGTGTCATCTTATGGAGAGACTTGAATATTATTGTTGTATTGATTTACAATGGTGTCATTATGCTCATGTGTCAATTCCACATTTATTCTTAGCTAATTTTTTTTAAAAAACTTAAATTACTAGACTAATTACATGATATGTCATTGTAAATTTTAGGTCTACACATATGTTATGTTCATTTTTTAAATAAATTCAAAAAATAATCTATAAATTATAATTTAATAGAATAAATTTGTCAATGCTAATTATAATATACACAAAATAATTTATTATAAAATACTTTTAAAATATTATCTGCAAATATTTTATTATATAGAAAATATATAATAATTTTTTAATCTCTTCTACTTTTATCATTCATAACAAAATATGTAATGTTTTTTTAATGTTTACTACTTTTTTCAAAAAATATTTTTACTAATTATTCATTAAAAATATTTTTATAGATGCAACAGAAAAATTAAAAATCATATTTTATTTTCTTCAAACTCATAATAAAATATATAATATTTTAATAATGTTTATTTCTTTTGTCAGAAAATATTTTTATTAATAGTTGATTAAAAATATTCTTATAAATACAACATAATAATTTAAAATAAAAATTTAATTTTCTCAAAAATCAACAACATTGTAATGCCGAATGACGATGCGTATATGGATACGAGAAACCAAGTTACTTGTAATCACCTTGCAAATCGTAATTGGTGGATCAATTACGAACCCCCAGATCGAGGTCGTGAAGAGGAAGACTGGTACAAAGATGACAAGATCGATATATAAATTTTCTGTGGTCCAATGTCGAATATCTACGATGAGGATGACAAGCAGCCATGTCACAATCAAGGCGATAATTTTTTTTGTCTAGATAAAATTTTGTTCTACAAACGGAGCTGTGGTGCAAATGACGGCAACAACAACAGGTTAATTGAAGTCGAAGTGATTGGGAACGCAAAACATCTCACATTTCTTTCTCAATGTGGATTACCAAGAGAAGATTTCTAAGTTAGCTTCGAGACAATTCAAAAGAATGAAGGCATCTACGTATACAGTTCAAAGACAGAGTTCCTGAATAGGTCTTTTGGAACAGAAAGCGGAACATTAGTTTTACCTTATCATCCACGTGAGGTTTGCGAGGAAGACATAGACGCCATCAATCACTTTAAGTTTTTCTTTCGGGTTGGAACTTTTGATACAAGCAGAAGGTATCTGGTGGATTTATATACTGACAGTGGCATCATGATGATGTTATTATCACGTGTGATAACAGAGATGTCTTATAGGGCCTCAAATTACATTTGCCTCTTCCTCGATACAAAGAAAACGTGTCTTGGAAGAAAAAGCCCTTCAACCAGGAGACGAGTGCACCTTTGTGTGCCCGTACATACAGTTATGCTTCTTCTGTTTGTTATGAGGGTAATGATGGAATTATTTTACAAAATGTGCATGTTGAAGATGTGGAATCAGCAAACAACTCAGGCGGGATATCAGGATACAGAAAGGAAGCTTGTAGCTGATGTGGAGCTAATGACGTGGCAATTCAAGGAGGAGCTTGGAGAGCACGCAAGGAGATTTTACATATGGAAACTTACCTTACGAGAGTTTGGTAAAAAGGGTCTAGGTTTAGGCTTTGTAAAGTATATATAGTTTAAAGTCGGGTAAAGTATAGGTACACACTTTGCGCCGCAATTGATACAGTTTACCTTGTACCTCAAACAAAGACAAGTAAGAAGGTTAGTGTCCTCTTCTCTGATACACGTGTTGTGGGATCAAGAGAAGAGTAGGTTTTGTTACTAGGAATCGTTTGATTGCTTTTTAAGAGTAGAGTTGCATAAATCCAAGCAATTGTAATCAGTCAATTAAATTGTTGATTCGAAATAATAAAACCTAGCGCTCGACTTGGCGCTTTCCAAGTCATTGATTGTGTGTGCCTGTTTTCTACACTTACAATTGGTATCAGAACAGGCATCTGCTAAAGAATTGTCTGTTCTTATTAATCAGGTGTGATTGTGGGACAAAGTATGGAAAACATGCAACATCTTGGTCTGAGCAAGTCTCTGGTGCTCGACGCAGAAAATTACGGATGGTGGAAGGTTCATATCAAGGCTCTCATCAAAGGATATGATGAGGATGCATGGACCATGGTTGAAGAAGGCTGGACGGAACCAACTGTTGTTGGA